TCACTGTCTGTTTTGACTTCCTCCAACCACACATTAGGTCTTCCTGTCGCATGTGAGGTTGTTGTTCGTTTTCGCTGGATCCTTCGAATTTTTTCCCCCTCCGCAATGTCTCCATCTAGCCACCGCATCAACTCCCGCTTCAGACGCTCCATGGAGTGAATGTGCCAGAATTTCATTTTCATCGCAGGTTTCGTGGCGGAGAAGATAACGTAACCATCTCTGCTAAAAATCATAGACGACGTCATGACGCAAATAACAGAGTACAAAATAAAAATACAGTGCGATAAAGTGTGAGAAATTTCGGAGAAACGGACGAATTATTTATAAAACAGCATTTTGCCCTAGTTTTGCCCTAGGAGCCAAGTGAGATGGCACCTCCTCTCACTTTTAAGGAGCATGCGCCATCTCACTTGGCTAAAAGCCAAGGGAGGCGCCAAGTGAGATGGCGCCTAGGGCAAAACCCTAGGTGGAGGCGCCAAGTGAGATGGCTCCTCCTTTGGAGAGTCATCTGAAACATGGTTATTTGCGTAATTTTTTCCGAAATCCGGTTATTTGCGAAATATTATTTTAATACATGGTTATTAATAAAAAAAATTCCGATTTTTTCTTGAGAACTTGAATAACTATTTTCTTATAACTCATTTGTAATATTTTGTAACAACTCTTTGAAGTATAATAAATCTGAAAATTGTTCTATCTCATAATAAATTATTTGTTCGAACTAAATAAATAAATTATCGTATTATTGTCTTTTCTTTATCTTCTTCCACTAAGATAAATTTGTGTCTTATTACCGAGACAATTATTTTTTTTAAAAACTATTTATTTTATTTATCATTAGTTTTTATCTTCATATACATTAAATTCAAAAAAAAAATAGTGTGTTCTAGCTCTAAAAATTATTCACAGATATTCTAATTATAGTTGAATTCAAACTTAAAATGTTTTATTGAGTTAAGAAGAGATAATTGCCATTCATCTCATGAAACTGTTATCCGATATATTTGTTTGTTTTTAGATTTTATAAATAAAAAAAAAAAATTACAAAACTCTGCCATACATTTTAACATGGGCATGTTATAGCTATAAGTATTTTAATTTTAAATACTCAGTAATTAATGCATTTAAATGATACCCCTACAGATTCATGAAAGCATATCTACATTATTGGGTCGGCAAAATATATTTAGGTGATATATGGTAAATGTACATTAAAGTTTTTTTTTTTTTCATGAGGAACATCCTCTTGGCTGTAGCCCCCACCTGGAGGTTCATCTCTAATCCTCGAATCATTTTCTTGACAACGACGCATCCAATGCTTTTAGTTGTTGTAACCTCTCTTTCCAAATTATATTCTTTTCCTAACTAAGTTGTGAAAAGTAGTACTCCTAATAATCTTCGTTGAAACTTGTGCTCAATCACTTCTAGTTTACCTTTCTAGTTATAATCATTAATCATCTCTATTTCTTTGCTTAACCTTGTATAGTGTATATTCCTCAATTTCGTGAGCCACAATGTTGTATACGACTCTTTATTCCTTATCTAAGTTAGTAGTTAAGTTACTCTTCCATAAAGTATCCTATGGCTTATAGATCAAGTTCTCTTTCTTTATACTATTGTTGGTTCATTCTTGCTTAATTAGATTGGAGATTTTATACTCCATCATCTTCATTCATATGGTGATTAAACTTTTTCTTTCTCTCTCATTATTGTATTACTCACGCCCACCTTTTAGGACATCTTAATGAGTGAAGACAAAGAAACGTAAATTTGAAGTCATTGGGGTTAAATTTATGCGTCTATAGACAAATAACATGCATGTGATTTAGCCCTATAACACTTAATTTTCTTTTACCATGGGTTTCATGCACTTGAGATAATATTATGAGAGGCATTATAGGTAACTAAATATCAGCAAATTGTGGCAGTCTTGTTTTCGATGGAGAGTTCAAAAATTCTTGAGTAACAATTAGTTTTGGGTTAGTTCCAAGTCAAATACTCTATCTGATGATCTTTATTATAATAAAAAATTTATTTTTTAGATACATTAAATAATAACTGTATTTGTTTTATATATAATTCAGATACATTAATATTTAATATATATAAAAAGTGAATTTTTTTTATAATAAAAATCAGAAGTAGTATAATATAAGTCTAATTACAATCTATCTACCGTATATAAATCATCACGTGCACAATTAAAAATATGATTCTGATTATAATTTATTTTATTCTATATTGTTTATTCATTGACTTACGTGTCAGAGTATTAATTTTATAGGTCTATCTCATCAAATATAAACCTCATCCACTATGCACATCATCAAGTCACTAATAATTTTGGTTCAATCACGGAACAACAATTGACTAAAATACTTTAGGATTACATGAGAGTGAGATGTGGCATATTCACTATTAAGTTTGAGGCGTTAGGTATATAAGTCTTCTCTATGATTCTGGGCCTACCAAAAGTCTGAACGGTTAAGGCTCAATTCATTTCAAATCCATTCTACTTGATCCAAAGTATAAAAGTGAGTTCACTTTGAAAGCAAGAAACATTATTTGATCTCCATTTTCACTACACTTATCTCAAATTTTGATTTGACTTAAGCGTTAGAGTACTAACCTTGTAGGTCCATCCCATGTCACTTTAGCGAAGATTGGTGCTATTAGTTCAAGATCAACAGTTTATTGATTGCATCTAATTATGGTTCGGAACGAAACATCTATTATAAATTCAATATTAACTCATTCATAGTCAATATTAGACTTAAACACTCACACTTGAACTCAATCTATCACATAAATATGAGTCTTCCACGTCCTATAACATGATTCATTTATTATTCCTCCACCAAGTCAAATAAAGGAGTCTTATACTACTTGATGAAAGTTCAAGAAATGCGGGAGCAACAACATAACAAATGCTTCAGGGTTACAACAGAGAGAGAGAAAGTATATCTCCACCAAAAATATTAATGCATCAGATATGTTAGTCATCTCTTTTATATATTTAATATTTTATCTATATATAATAGATGTGAGACTTAATCACTCGAACTTGAACTCAACCATTTATTCTACTAAAACACAACTGTTTCTTTAACAAATTAATAATTAATAACAAAAACTGAGTCATTTGAAAGTTCAATGGGGTCGTAAAAAATGATTTATTTCAAGATAAATCTTGGATCGCTCTAAGAAACTCCTTAATTTATTAGTTGTTTTATGCATCAGTCGGTGCTTGTTTCTCTTGTTTGTTTACCTTCTTTTTGTGCGTCATTTAATATTTGGTTTCCTCAAGTATGGCTAGACTCCAACATTGGTCTGCTAAACTTCAATGTTGACTTTTTTGTCGTTGTTTTTGCACGGTATTGTAGCCAAATTTTATCTTAACCATGAGTTTATAACCAATTTGGTTTGAAAAACAAGGATCTCTAAATTTGGTTTTGATAATAACATGTAAGAAAATATTTTTATCCTCTAACGTTGTTACACTTTTTATGTATTTGTTAGTTTAAGTATAATTTATATTTTTATGTGTGTGTTGCATTTGGCATGTCTAATAGTTCATTTTATCTATGATATATTCTTCTTCTATTTTGTGTTCCTATTATGTGATTTATTTTCTTCTAGTATATGTTATGTGCTAGTTATTTCTAGGTTAAACTTAATATCTTTAACTCTTTTTTTATCTTGTCAAAAGAGGAGAAGTTTTATTGAGACTTTATTTGTTTTATGAATTTTATGCAATCACGTATTTGTATGCAGTGTTTCAAGGGGAATATTGGCGCAAGTATTGATCATGCTTTTGCTTATGCTCACGTCGACTCTATTACAAGTGTAACTTGCCAAGCATAAAAAAAGGAGACTGAAATGGCTTCTAGAATTTTGTTGCTTGTCTTATGTCTGCTTGTGTTTTGATTTTCATTTTAGTAATTAATGCTCCTCATTGTTAGGTCTTTGCACATCTCTTAGACTTGAGCGTTTTTATTAAAATATATTTTCGCATGCATACACCAGGTTTTTGACCTAAAATGAATGCAAAAAGATTCAAGTCAATAAATCTAAAATTTGATTCAATAAGCTCATATAAACATGATCTAAGTTAGACTAATTCTCAATTCAATCATGAACGTTTATTTTCCAAAAAATTGAAAATCTTGAAGAATGATTTGAATCAAGGAAATAGGTGACTCGTGTCATAAAGAAATTGAGTAAATTTGAAAAAATGACATTGGAAGTGTGATTTGAATCACAAGATATCTTGATTTTGAACAAGGGAAGAGCTTGATTCGAATCACATAACAATTTGATTCAAATCATGGTTGAACTTATCATTTTGGAGTTCATTTCAAGTGATGTGACTGAATCAATGATATTTTTAACTCGTATCACATAATTATAATCTTAGGTGAAAGATATGAACTTTATGTTCTTAACTCAAGTCATTGTCTCATTTGACTCGAATAATCATTATTGCTCTTAACTCGGATCGAAAGGTCAATTTTTACTCATTTTTAATGCATTTCTCTAGCACATATATAATTTTCTCTCATAACACAACTTGCAAAAAAATTGTGCATAGCTTGTGAAATAGATTTTTACATACATGATACCATTTTTCTGAAAACACAACTTTCTCTCTCAAGTCAAATTGAAGAAAAGCTTTTTCTTATGTTGCATTCGTGAGTGTTCTAAAAAGTATCTGTGAGATTCTTTATGAAAATCGTCATCTTAAACCTCTCATCAAAAGTCTATTTTGCGTGTTTTGATTTTAACTCTAAGAGAAAGAGTGTGAAGATCTAGTGTGAGGAGGTTCATTAGTGATATGTTGTCTTGTGAAGATTTGCTTTCTGATTGAAGATTTAGTGTGTGTTTGGTTGTTCTGGAGATTGATATCCAATGAAGAAAAAGAAGATCTTCTTCTCCAAAGATAAATTTCGATAGGATCAAGTGAAGATTATTGCAAAAGAAATTTTAGAATTCTAGTTCCTTCACCAGTTCAAAGACTCAGACAAAGGAAATTTCGATAGGATCGAGTGAAGATTGTTGCCGATATAATCTTGGAAGACTTTTGTTCTAAGAGGATCAAATGATTCAAGTTCGAGTGAAGATCTTGAGGAATTTTCAGTCTAGTGAGTTGTGTTCAAAAGAAGAAGAATCGATATTTAGATATAAGTAGCTTAGTAGTTGAATTAAGTTTTCAATTTATACATGATTATCTGTTGTTACTAAAAGACACTTGTGATTTTCAATGGTTTTCCATTGAAGTCTAGACTAGGTGCAAGCGAGGACGACATATCAAATTAGTATAAACATTGGTGCACAATTCTCTTTGTGAAAGAGTAACGAATTCTCAATGATTTGTCTTTGGAGTATGAACTAGGTGTAAAGGAGGACAACACACGAATAAATATTGGTGCGCAATTCTTTGTCTCTGTCTTTTAAATTTTTGTATAATTTATATGTTTATAGGATTTATCGATTTCTAGTATTGTATAATTTTAGAGTTTTATCGCTTTCTAAAATTGTATAATGTTTATTTTATCATTCATGGTGTTTTAATTTTAAACATAGGTCTATGTTAAATATTATCTACTAAATATGATTTCTCATAATTATATTTATATAAACTTGTAATATTAGATTTTCATTGTATTGGTTATTTAGGGAGTAAATCATGAAATGGTTTCAATAACATAACTTTTCTAAAACTTTGGCTCTCGCGCATTCAGAAAATTCTAATTTTTAAAACATTTTTATATTATCTTTTAAAAGGAAAATGTTTATTCAAGCTCTTATTCTAAATTATTTTACTCTCATATTCAGTCTAATAATTTAAAAATGAGAGAGAGAGAGAGAGAGGGGGAGGGGGAGGGGGAGGGAGAGGGAGAGGGAGAGGGAGAGAGGGAGAGAGGGAGAGGGAGAGAGGGGGAGAGAGAGAGATTTGAATTTGGTCTCCATAAATTTTCTAGTTGCTTAATTTTGACCTCTTAAATTTTAATTGCTTAATTTTGACCCCGCAAATTTGTCTTTTTTATGTTTGATAGTCATCTAATGACAATGTAGACTAAACTTATCCTTTTTTATTGTTTTTTTCCCTTTTTTCTTTTTTATAAAAGCTTTCTTCTCTACAATTCAACTTTTTTTCTCTTTTTAATAGTTAAGCTTTTAATGTAATATCTTAATTTCTTTCAACATATAACTAATGACAAATTGATTTCGACAAAAAGAAATAAATTTGAGGAGTTTAAATCAAACAATTAGAAAATTCAAGAGACCAACACTACAAAAAAGAAGCTTAGTTGCCACGTGAAATTCATGTGGCAAACATCAAAATCACGTGGCAAAGCAAAATTAGCGACGTGGTGAGTTATGTCGCTGGGGAGTAAGTGGCAAGCAAGTAGCGACGTGATTCCCACGTCACAAAGTTGTGACGTGGTATTCACGTCGCTACATATTTGTTAATGCAGCTTTATTAGCGACGTGAGATTCATGTCACTAATTTGTGACATGAATCCCACGTCGCTACAGGGGACGTTTTTATTTTTTAAAAAATTGTTAATAATTATTTTTTATATTAATTCATTAATGTAATAAAATTTAAATAATAAAATTTATATAATAAAATTTAAATAATAAAATTTATATAATAAAATTTATATATTAAAATTTATATAATAAAATTTATATATTAAAATTTATATAATAAAATTTATATAATAAAATTTATATATTAAAATTATTAGAATAATAGTATTTTATTTTATATTTCGAATAATAGAATTTTATAAAATAAATTCACATAATTAAATGTTATATAATTTATTAATTTAAAATGATAAAAATAAATATCTTACATAAATGCAAATATAAAAACGAAATAAAAAAAATGTTTTCACGGGGCATCTTCACCCGGAAAATTATCAAGATCAAAGTCATCAAGTCCGTCATCATCCGGCTGTGTATGATCAGGAACATTTTGATTTCGACCCCCTTGCATAAACTGTCTCATCTGCTCCTCCATATCAGATTGCCGCTTCCGCATGATCTCTAACTGACGCTCCTGCTCTTGCCTCATTGTCGTCATTTGGGCCTCCATTTCGCGTCTCACTTCACTGGCCGCCAATTGTCGTACTGTTTCAAGTTGAACCTGAGTCAGATTGGGTTGACGTGACCCCCCTTCTCCATCTCTAAGTCTTTGAAACAGATTACGATCACCAACTCTCAAGCCGGCGGCCAAATTTCCTCCCGCAAAAAAGCAACCATTAGGCCCTTTTCCATTAACAACCTCATTCCAAATATAGAAATCAACATCCCCATTAAGCGGCTCCCCCTCTGCTGGCCTATATTGCGGATTGTGTTCTAGAAAATTTGCTAGCAATGTCTGATAATCATCCTACACATTAAATTATACATTAAAAATATTACATAATACAATTAAAAAAAAATTAAAACATTTATATATTAAATTATACTAAATTCAAATATATTAAAAATTTGTCACGTGATTTTCACAAATCAACTTATGAATTGCCACGTGAGTTTCCCGTGGCAATGTATCAGTTGCCATATGAAAATCAGTCACCTGGCAATTTATCAGTTGCCACATGATAATCACGCCACAACTTATAGATTGCCACGTGGAAATAACGTCACTATTTTTGTTATTAACTTAAAAAAAAAACATAAGTTTAATTACTTACAAAAGCTTTCTGGGTGCGGTCGTCGACAAAACCTCCCGATTTTTTTGTCCGAGTCCTCGTAATCAACTCAATCATCAATGGTGGTCTCCCCATCTCCTTAGTCTAAACAATAAAGTTAAAAATAATTAGTAACAAATATTATGAATAAAAATATATATAACTTAAAAAATTAGTAATATTTACCATCCGTCGGACATGCTCTGCAGTGCTAATACTTCCAACAGTATTGACACATCCCCCTTTTTCTGATGCCCTCATCTTCTTAAAATTTTCAGATTTGGCCTTGAATTCTGGCGAACTCCAATATGTACGAAGTTCGCCAAAAACCTCTACGCCTATCCAGTTAGGACGGATACCATGCAGCTCATAATTCTCCCTAACCCGCCGCATTATATCCGAAAATCTTCTAGAAGTTCTGCTATAATATATTTTTTCCATTATTTTCTCATTCAACGGATCCCACACACATTTTTCCTGCAATGTTGTATGACATTAAAATAAAAAGTTAAGCAATTATCATTAAAATGTGACTTAAATAACAATACTAAAAAAATATAATAAATTTACAACTTAAATAAATAACAATACCTTAAATTTTTTAAACCATTCTTCTTTATTTGTAACCTCGCCAAAGTTCTTCCAAGAGGATTTATACATCTGCTGGATTATATAATTAATAACCTTGGCAGCCGTCCGACTCGGCGCGAAACTAAACAACAAGATTTTGAATAAACAATATTAATTATAAATTTATACAAAATATTAAAATGAATATGTACTTAAATAAAAGTTTATATAAGAAACTTACTTGCTTCCTTCGGGCCAAATCCAAAACCTCCCGTCAATTACATGAATCTCACTCGGATCATCTGATCTCTCACGAATATCAGCTCCATCTATATCATCAGCTACGACATCTGCATCACCGCCAGCCTGTGTAGGACGTGGGGTGCTGGATCCTGCAGCCTGTGTGGGATGAGGGGTGCGTGACCCTCCGGTCCGTCTAGGACGTGGGGCGCGGGATCCTGCAGCCTGTGCCGGACGTGGACTGCTGGGTCCTCCAATGTGTGTGGAGTGTGGGGTGCTGGACCCTCCCGCCTGCTGGAAGGATGAATACATCTGTGTGGGTCCCCCTGTCTGCTGGAATGATGAAGGCACGCCAGTCTGTATAAATGGAAAACTGGGTCCTCCCCCCGTCTGCTGGAATGATGAGGGGACACCAGTCTGCTGGAAAGATGAAGGCACCTGGGTCGGTGCGAAAGGGAAACTAGATCCTCCCGCATGCTGGAAGGAAGATGGCATCTGAGTATGTGGGAAAGGAACACTAGATCCTCCCGCCTGCTGGAAGGATGACGGCATCTGGGTCGGTGGGAAAGGGAAACTAGATCCTGCTGCATGCTGGAAGGAAGACGGCATCTGAGTCTGTGGGTAAAGGAAACCGGGGCCTCCAGGTGGCACAAAAGATGCAGGTACCCCAGACGGGAATGTATGGGAGGAGAGTAATGGGACAAAACCCTGAGTACTGGCCAGGGACATATGATCAACCTGACTCTGAGGGGGTGGGCACATGGCTGAGTGAGGAGACTCACATGTTACTACCCTCGGACGCTGAGACTTCTTACCGGTATCCTTATTCTTCGGTGCCATTTTACCTAGTTATATATATTTTCATAAACAAAGATAATAAAGTCATTGACATAAATATATATTCATTGACAAATTCAATATATAAATGTTCAATAGATATTCATTAATATTACATTAAGTGATTAATTAATCTAAATCTTCATGCTCGTTATCCATATCATGTTCATCATCCGATGTAATATTGTCCTCGGATTCAAACTCTTCATCATTGTCTTCATCCACATTATTATCAACCAACAATATAGACGCATCAACTTGAAGGCCCTCAACAGTTGTATCGGACAAAGTTGTAATGTCTTCAGCTGCAACCACATCATTAATCTGTTCAACGTCATCAACTTGGTAGGCAACATCTTCCACTAGATCTCCAGTTTCAATATGACCTAGCGGTTTTGTTTTTATTACAACACACCATCCTCTTTTACGTATTACAAATGAAGGATAAGGAACATAATAAACTTGCCTAACAATATGTGACATTATGAAAGGGTCATATTCTTTGTATCTCCGGTTCATTTGAATCTCGACAGAACCATATGACTTGTCTATCTTTGTGCCTCTAGTTGGATCATACCATTCACAATAAAACAAGACAACTTTATTTTCCGTGTCCAAGTAATTGTATACCAACTCGTAGATATGTTTAACAAATCCATAGAAGTCGTCTTCACCGCCATCTGTAACTCCTTTTACAAAAACACCACTATTTATGGTTTTTTTCCCTTCGGTCCATGCCTCAGTGTGAAATTTATATCCGTTCACGAAGTATGTGTGCCAATCATTTGCGCTTTGGATAGGGCCTTCTGCCAAGTTTCTCAAATGGAGTATTTCTGGAGTTAGTGCAGGAACGCTAGACAATGTTTGCTTGAACCATGAGGGAAATTGAGCATGAATGACACCTGATGTTGACTGTACCCCGGTACTATGAAAATAGGCATTGTTAAATTCCCTACAAAAAACACACAATAAGTTTAATAAGTTTGGTATACACACACCATAAGTTTAAAAAGTTTTGGTAAACTCACTCAAGATATGGTTTAACTTCAACGCAGTTGATCAAGACATGGACATGTGCAGATTGCATTTCTTTTTGGGTCAACCAATGCACACCCTTCTTTCCAGAAGGTCGACCTGGTAGCGCAAAGACTGATAAGGTGAATTGACTCCTCTGATTGACATTTACAGGATTCCGTATGATTCTAGGAGTTAACATCAAGTGATTGAAATAGTGACTGCAAAAATGTGATGTTTCCCGATGCAAGTAATGTGCACATATAGATCCTTCTACTCTAGCTTTATTTTTTACCGATCTCTTTGAATCACCCATGAACCTTTCAAACGGATACATCCACCTATATTGAACAGGTCCACCAAGATAAGCCTCATATGCAAGATGCACAGGTAAATGTTCCATGGAGTCAAAGAAACCAGGCGGAAATACTTGTTCCAACTTACAAAGAATGAGTGCAATGTTTTGGTCCAACTTAATGATGTCTTCCACTTTTAAAGCTGACGCACAAATATCTCTAAAAAATTGACTAATTTCAGTTAGTGGGTCAAGAACATGTTTGGGTAGCGATCCAAATGCAATTGGTAGCAACTGTTCCATAAAAATGTGACAATCATGACTTTTCATACCATGCAATTTTCCAGTGTTAGGGTCAGCACACCTTGCTAAATTTGATGAATACCCATCGGGCATTCTCAATTCTTTTAACCATCTACAAACCGCTTTAGCTTCTTGGGAAGTCAGACTGAAACAAGCCTTGGGTTTTAATAATTTTCCATTCGGTTGAGGCTTCAACTCCAACTCTCTTCGATTACACCAAATTCCCATGTCTTGTCTGGCCTTCTCATTATCTTTTGTTTTTCCTGTCACATCCATCACTGTGTTAAATACATTATCAAAAAAATTCTTCTCAATATGCATAACATCAAGATTATGGCGCAACAAATTATCTTTCCAATACGGAAGATCCCAAAATATACTTCTTTTTGTCCAATTGTGGGTGACGTCGTATCCTTCAATTCGGCATGCTTTCCCAGTATCTGTAAATTTTGGTAGTTCACATACTTGGTTCCATATAACCCCTGGTGGCAATCGAGGCGGAGGCAAATCTTTCTCTCGTACATCTTTTTTAAAATTTGTCTTGTTTCTTCTATACGGGTGATTTGCTGGTAGGAATCTGCGGTGACAGTCAAACCATGAGCTTTTCCCACCTTTATCCAACGTAAATGCTTTGGTGTATCCCATGCAATGCGGACAACCCATTTTTCCATGCGTACCCCAACCAGACAACATGCCATATGCTGGAAAGTCATTAACGGTCCACATCAAGGCAGCTCGTAATGTGAAGTTCTGTTTACGGGATATATCATAAGTCCATTCTCCAATCCACATCTTCTTCAAATCATCAATTAAAGGTTGTAAGTACACATCAATTCCGGCTTTTGGACTGTGCGGGCCTGGAATAACACACGTCAAAAACATGTATGGTTTTGTCATGCACATCTCAGGAGGGAGGTTGTAAGGTGTTACAATAACTGGCCAACAAGAGTACGCACTTCCTGACGCTTGCACGTATGGGGCAAATCCATCAGAGCATAATCCAAGCCTGACATTTCTAGGTTCTGCAGCAAAATCTGGATGTGTCCGATCAAAGTGCTTCCATGCCTCACCATCAGATGGATGTCGCATAGTGCCAGAACTTGTTTGGTTTGTATGATGCCATGTCATTTGACTTGCACTGTGCATTGAAGCAAACATTCTTTTTAACCTTGGTATTATAGGAAGATAAAACATGGATTTTACTGCTACACGCTTTTGCTTGCTGTTAACGGCTCTACTGCGAACTTGATATCTTGGACTATTACAAAACTTACACTCCTCTAACGATCCATCTTGAATACCAAACTCATTGTCATAAAACAACATGCAACCGTTAATGCAACAGTCAATCTTTCTTACTTTTAAACCCAACTTCGACACCCACTTCTTTGCATCATAATAACTTGTAGGCAAATTGTCTTTCGTAGCGGTGGAGTCCAACATCATTTTTGCAAAATGTTCCAAACATTGATCAGAAACATTCCAATTTGACTTGGCAGCCAATAATCTCACACACATTGATAGCTTCGAGTCTGACGACCCCTCAAACAACGGCGTATTCATCTCGTTCAATAATTGATAAAATCTTTGCGCTTCCTCATTCGGCAACTCTTCCCCGTCAAAATCTTCAGGTTCATCATATGTCACGTTCACACCAAAAGCATCCTCAACCATGTCACCGATCAAATTAAAGTTCTCCTCATACTCCATAACCGGTCGACTACTTGAAGCATGCGTGTTGCTAGTCTCTGGTACATTAACCGGTAGTTCTTCACCATTATACGTCCAAACCCAATAATTTTCAATGAATCCCCTTCTATGCAGATGACGTGTTACTTCCTCTGGGTCACTAATTATTGGTCTACATTCACACTTAAGACAGGGACATCTAACCCCTCCTTCGCTTCGACAACAATCCTGAGCAAACGCCCACTTAATAAACCCATCAACTCCTACTATAAAATTGGGTTTAAGTCCACTTCTTCCTGGATATGTTCTATCGTACATCCAACTGCGATAATACCGATAATATTCCATACTGCACATTTATACAATCATTGTCTTTTTCATTAGAAATATTCTTAAACTATTTAATACTATTCTTAGAAATATAAATTTTGCTTTTTTATATATATACTAACATATAAATAAATATTCAAATGTAAAATATATAATTTTTTATTACATAACAATAATATCAAAAAACAATAATATAACATATTTACTTTTTATTATATATAATATAAGATACATACTATTTAAATATACTATAATATACTATAATATATTTAGAAAACAAATAATGTAAGATACATACTATTTATTATTATATATATAACAATAATATTAAAATAATAATATAATATATATATTCTTTTTTTAAATATGTTTTTTATAAATTGTTATTCTAATATATAATATTTTTTCCATATCTTTAACATATAAATAAAAAAATAAAACTATTATAATAAATACAATTTACATCTATAAAAAACATGTTATTAAATATGTTATTAAATTTATGTTTTCTAAAATTTTTTAAAAAATATATTAAATATGTTATTAAAAAATATGCAAATTACATATACAAATATACTACTAAAAAATATATAAATCACATATGCAAAAAATATGCAAATTACATATACAAATTACATATGCAAAAAATATATTAAATATGTTATTAAATATGTTTTTAAAATTTTTTTTATTATCAGTAATTTTATACTACTAACAGTATATACATATATTCCTAATTACCACAAAATACATATACAAATCTAATCTATATAATACATATAAAATCTAAAAAAAAATGCATAAATACCTCTATATAATTTCTTCAATAAATTTGCGTCTTCTAGTTCTTGGTGTTCTTCAAATTTCTCTACAAATAATAAGGAACAATCCAACAAATACCATGTTAATTAAATTCCAGTATAAAAACTAAAGATAAAACGAAATAAACATTTAACATCACATGCATACCTTAGATTTCTTCAACAAATTGGAATGGAAGAAAATTAATTCGCAAAATTGGGTTTGAGTTTGTGAGAGTTGCTGTAATGGAATGGAAGCAAGCAAAGGAAAGCAAAGGAAGAAGAAGAAGCACGCTACTGTAAATCAAAACGTTAACATTTGTAACTTCTAGTAGCGACGTGACTGTCACGTCGCCACGTTGCCACGTGATAATCACGTCGCTACAATGCAACCATAAATACTTTTCTCTGTCCAACACTGCGCATTTTCCCCCCAAAAATTTAGCGACGTGGCTAACACGTCGCTACAAAATTTCAAACTTCCCTCCCAACAACGTTCATCAGATTCCATTAAATGTCATTAAAATATATTAGCGACGTGGTTATCACGTCGCTACTACCCACGTGATAAGCACGTCGCTAATATATGTCGCTGGGGACATATATTTTTGTAGTGCAAAATCAAACAATTAAAATTTAGAGGACGGAAATCAAATAATTAAAAAATTCGGAGGACCAAAACTGCATTTAAATCTATAATATTTTAAGAGAATTTAAAATAATTTGCACAATATTTAAATTAAAAATATAAACAATTATTAAAATAATAGATATTTGTTCAGGCTAAGTTTATTGATTTTGAAATGACATCTAAAATAATGAAAAAATTTTTGAAATTCCTCCAAGTGGAAATGTCAAAATCAAATATTATCATTATTTAAAATTATTTAAAATTTTGCTAGTTGATCTCTATATTTTTCAAAATTTTACGAAGTGACCCTTAAAATTTTTCATAATTTGCAAATTGATCTTTAATAATTTTGAAATTTTATAAATTCATCTCTTTAAATTTTTAAAAATTACAATTTGATTTCTATTTTCTGAATTTGGCCTCAAAATTTTAAAATGTATAAAAATAACCCAAAAATTTAACAATGAATAATCATGATATTCTATTTAAATAAATTAATTTAAATAGAATTAGTTAATTTTATATTTTTTTTTTAAACTCATCAAATATACTCTATGTGAATTCGTACTTTTGAATTAGTAAAGGGAATATTTTAAACAAAAATATATGAATTTGAATTAAAAGTAAATAAAAGAAATATCACTTTCACAACATTATTCAGATTTATTGCTATTAGTACTTTTTTTCATGATAAAACGACAAAAACTTAGTAGTTTAAATCGGAGGGTACACATCACGACACGTGTCATCCATTTCCACCGCCTATCACGTAATCCTGTAATTTATTCCATTCTCTTTCACGATCACACCGCGTTAAACAAATTCATGCAGCATTGTCAAAATTAATCACCCCTATAGATGCCTCTCGATATGTTTCTATGCATTTTTCCATTAAAATATTATTAACCAACAATTCACTGTAGGTAAATTTAATTCCAAACCTACCAAATTGATAACCTTCCACTAAAATAGAAGAGATTTATTCCATTACGTAACGCTACCTTGCTAGCCACCAAAACCAACCACATCTACCTCTATCTTCAGAATATAATTATTCCTTTTTCTTAATTAATTCATAATTCAATAACTATATTATAATTTCTTAATTACTAAAATAACCCGCGAATACGTACATTTAGCTTAATTAATCGTGTAATTAAGAAAAACATAGAAACATAATAATTCTGAAAGTTCATCATCAATATATTCGGTGGGTGCGAACAATGATCGTTCATGAGAATTCTGAAAACTGATAATTCAAGCATCACGATCAAATATTAAATAAAGCAGCATAGAGATTAGTCTATGCAAAAAAGCAGATATCTTAAAAAACGAAAATTGGTATGAAGGTAGAGAATTCAACCTTATGTTGATCGATTTCCATTGATTAATTCACATATACGATTCAGATCCAATATTTCACATCTTATACAAAGTGAAATACCTATATATATTATATATATAATGAACATATAAAAGAAAAAAAAGAAAGAAAGAAATGGATCATAAGAAGAGGAATTTGATAAAAGAAGAAAAATCGTGTAATTAATTTACGTAATTTAATTTAACCAGCGAGCACCAAGGTAGTGTTCGAGACTGAATTGCAGAGAGTTTGATTTGATCAATTTTCATGTACAAGGACAAGGCCTTTTCGGAAAAGTGGATCTGAAAAACGCATCCATGTCTTCATTACTTGAAACCTCGAAGAATTGAAATTCATCCATAAGCTTCCTCTTACAAGAAACGAACGGCTTCGGTTTCTTCGGCGCCGGCGGACAATTCAAGATCTCCGGTATCTTGCTTTCCTTCGAAGTCGGAGTTCGGTAACTCTCGTCGTTCTCGTTCTCTCCATCAACGACCGCGCCGTCGTTTTCGGTTTCGGTTTCGGTTTCACGTTGTGTGATTGGAGACGACGGGATGTCGTCGACGGCTGGAGTCTCAGGGAATTGATCGGAGGAAACAACATCGACGTCAACGTCAACGTCGTCGTCGAGTTTGACGGCGGTGATTCGGAGTTTTGGCAACTGATGGTGGAGGTGGAGATCGGTGGACATGATCGGTAAAGGCGTGTTTGGAAGGAGAGAAAATTACTTAACGTGATGTGCGTGAAACTGCGTTTGTTAGTGAATATATATATATAGATAAGTTGGAATATGAGAAAAAAACTTTACGGAAAGCTTTGAAAGCGTGCTTTCGAAGGTAATAAAATAGAGAGAGAATAAGATGAGTTTTATTTTTTTTTGTTGGAGGTGAGGTATCACTATCACTACAACAGTGTTACAACTTGTTTAATTTTACAGTTCACACATAACCTTATTACTGTTATCATTATTATATTATTACTACCATTTAATTCAATTATTCAACTGTACATTGCTAGGAATACAGTGATAATTTTGATCTAAAAAAAGTTCGATTAATTTTTACATTTAGTAACATTTTTTAAATTGCAAATACAAACAACCATGCATACTTTGAAATTCCCAATTATTTTGTCCTAAATTCAAATTTACAGGATAAAGGATCGGTTTGTATTGTCTCGATTTTTGTATCAAATCATGTATAGTTTTTACACAAATTGAACATAGTTGTAATATTATTATTACAATATTTTTACTACTGAAAATTGACCACCGTCCTTGTTTGGACTTTTCAAATGTACAATTTTTATCATCTATAATTAAAGTACATATTCTCCCCCATCTCAAAATACATGTTTTTTTTATTTGTCTTAAATTGTTTATTGTTTAAAATATTAATATAATATTTATTATTTCTTTTCACTAATTTATTCTATTTTAAAGCATATAAATACTCCATTACTTATTATTAATAGAATATTTTAATAAATAATATTTATTTTATTATCAAAATCAACATAATTAATTATTATTTTAAAAGTCTGGAAATTTAATATAAAATATACTATAAGAAGGAGAGAGTAATAAATTGTTTACCAGTATTGCACAATAGAAGAAAGAGAAAATTTATAAGATCTGTTTCGGTTAATGTGAAGCACTATAGAAACTTTAATTAATCTCATTATTCACGAGTATTAAAGTTTTACATTAAAAAAGTCTTAAGTCTTAACTAGATATATTATCTTACATAATTAAATTACCACATTGGAATATCAATATATTATTTTACAATTTTGAGGTTTTTTATAGTATTTTTAATTTAAGAGTCATGTTAATATGTGTTTAAAGATATATGTTAATGATATTATAATTAAAATATTTTAAATATAATAAATTCATAAAAAATTGAATGCACATATTTTAAGATAATATTACTATAAATAATTTATTAACATATAGTTAATGATACATATTAAGATTTTCCTTAATTTAAATAGATGTAGATGATAATAGAATAAGAATAAATTGTGTTTAATCTGGCCCATGCTCTATTGCAATGTCTCTGTATACTCCTGATGAGTGATGCTGATGCTCAATGAAAACAAAAAATATGGAGGAAGTTTATATTTTCTACGAAAAAGTAACAACGTATTCGGGTAAACGACAAATAGAACTATTCCACGTGTGAAAGTTACTGACTTGGTTGGACAAAATTGTCCTTTTGAATGTTGAGTTTGGAAAATAAAATAGACTCGGTTGTAGAAGATAAAAGGAACGGATATCACGGTCCCTTGCTTTCACGAAGGGTGATTATCACTGATTACTGGTGGTAATGGAACGTTCATTTTACGTTACATGCGCAAAACTGTAATAGAATGCTACGTTCTTTGCCACGTGACACATATAGCGCGTATGAACAATTGCTGAAAGAAATCTTTAACTTTTTCCTAATTTTTTAACATTTATTTAAACTAATATTTTTATTTATAAATTAAATTTAAATGTAAAACCGTTCAAAAATCATATATTTAAATTTTTAAAGTCAAAATAAATGCTTTCTCTGTCCCACAACACAATGAAAGATTCTTTTGTATAAAAAATACCTTTCATATATATGTTTTTTTATTTTTAATTTTATATTAATTATATCATTCAAAATTATAATTGAGAATTTGATATATATTCAATAAATTTAACTTTTTTTTATCATAAGAATGTCTAGAGTGTGTACTTTTCTTAATTGTATTTTTTAATTAGTACTATTCATCTATTTTTGAGAATGTGAATTCTAAAATTTTATTGTAAATTTTAAATTGATTTTTAGGTTTATTCTTTCCGTTCTTATTTACTGATATAATTTATCTTTTATTTAAAAATACTCATTTATAAAGAAGCTACTAAGTAAATAGATTACTAACAAATATAGATATATAATGATAGACATGCAACCGCGGGATTCAATTCCTAATTTTATCAAAGAAGAGCTCTTTAACAATAATTTAGGTTAACTTAATTATCAATTTATTTGATTTTGGTAGAAAAGTTTAGCGGCGAATGGTCAAGTTAGATATTTTTTGACCTGTTTAGTTTTTTCTTTATCTTTTATCTTTTTTTTTTCAAATTAAATGTACGTATTCTTGTTTCCCGTATATTTCTTAGCATTATTTTTTGTAAAAAAAATTAATATTTTTTAAGTTCAATATAGAAACATTAGTGTCCACCTTGAGATATGACTTAATCTTGGTCTTAAGTTCTCATCAATATAGCAATTGAGAGAAGTAATACTCCTCTAACGCCATCCAGTGAAGAATCTAATTTCAATAATCACAATTCTAACATCCATAACGGAAGTGCTAAGTACCAAATTTCACCATGAAAAAATAAGAATGCCAGCATGGAGCAAGTACTAGACACATTAATAACAAAATGGACGTGCAAATTTAGAATTTCAAATGAAAGATCATTGTGTTAGAAGAAGAAAAACACAATGTTGATTTGTCTATCAATGATGACATCAAATACTAGATTGAAGTTGATTTAAACACAAAGGAACATCTCGTGAAACCCTTATAACGAAGAAGTCAAAGGTTAACATGCAATAATTTTCTTTTACAAATGATATCAACACAGAGTTGTCACAAAGATAATTTCAATTACACGGCATGGAGGAATATGTCAAAAAATTTATATCCCTAGGAGCACCTAGCACTGTTAAATGTGGGAATAACATTATGAAGCACATTCGACTTAGTAAAATGCAAAGTATTTCAATGCTTCCTAAAGAGAGTGGATTTTCTTTAGTTTTTGAACTTGATAGAGAAATCTATCAAATCTTCAAGGAAACTAGCAAAAATGTTTGTTGTCTCAGTTCACAACCAACTAAGTAAATCAAAAGAATTTGAATTTTCAGATTAAATTGAAGCATAAATAGGCATAACCTCTTTGTTGGTTTCCTTTTACAATATTTAATTGAAAAATATTGTAGCAACTATGCTAGCCAAAATCATAATGTTACGTCATCCAATGGAGAATCTAATTTCCCCAATCACGATTCTAACATCTAGAATGAAAGTGCTAAGTACAAAAATTCACCATGTGAAAATAGAAATGTCAACATGGAGTAAGTACTAGACAAATCAATAACAAAATGGACGTGTAAATTTAGACCTTCGAATGAAAGATCATAATGTAAGAAGAAGAAAACATGATGTCGATTGTCTACCAATGATGACATCAAATACTTAACTGGAATTGATTTAAAACACATAAGAACATTTCATGTAACTCTTAAAAAGAAGAAGTAAAAGGTTAACATGCAACAATTAACTTTCACAAATGATATCAACGAAGAGTCAACACCAAGACAATTTTAATTACATGCTGAAATTCTGGCAACAGATACTTAATGTCACAGTGAATGTTATGACACCGTATCTGACAAATTGTACACAAACCAAACAGTAATTTAAAAGACAGTAAAGAACATGATCAATTGTTAACCCAGTTCAGTGTGTAACAACACCTACATCTGGGGGCTACCAAGCCAAGGAGGAAATTCACTATAAGAGGTATTAATTTAGGAATAAACCAACCAGTTTATCTCCTTCACTTAAGACCTACCCAATGCAACTTCAATCTAAGTCCTACTTAAACCTGAGTTCCTACTCACTCCCCCTCAATCACAGCAGTGATACTAATCTACTGATTAATAAGATTATGAAGACATTCTTCAATACACACGCTTGATTTTGCTTCAAAGCTTTAATCAAGAGACACAACACTCGTGCTTCAAAGCTTTGAGTGATAAACAACCCTTACAACCAAATCCTACTCCAAGCCACTTATCAAGTGATAATTGCTTGGCTCACAGTAGTTACTAAAACTATCTACAAAATGCCTTGTTGATCTTCTGTCAAAAGCACTACCCACCATTGGGATTCGTGAGAAATATATATGCAGTCTATTCTTTAGTTTTGGACTTCCATAAAAATAGCTAGGGTTAACCAAAGTTAACCTAAAGACTTGGTCTTGGACTTTCATCATAACAGATTAGGGTTAAGCAAGGTTAACCTAATATCCACGTGAGCATCTGATCCAGTCAATATACTTCAATTCATAATAGCATACCAGATTCCTGAAAATTCTCAGGCACAATAAATCTGCACAACAACTTGATCAGTACAGGATGTCTTAACATTTGCTATGACATTGGTTATGACATCATGTATCCTGCTCAATGATTTTGGTAGAATTCAGTACATATGATCATAGCTTAATCATCATGATATTCACTCATACTGAGTTGTTCCTGTAGAGCATTCCTTCTGCAGAATTTGTCTTTATCCCAGAATGTTATGACATCAGTCATGACATTCCCAAATCTGGTTTTACAAAAAATTAATGCCAACAAGCAAACACTTACACATGCCATGGAGGAATATGTTAAAAAATTTAGATCCTTGGGAGGACCATGCACGGTTGAATTTGTGAATAACACTATGAAGCATATTCGAAATAGTAAAATGCAAATTTTTTCATGCTTTCTAAAGAGAATGTATTTTCTTTAGTTTTTAAACTATCTAGAGAAATTTATAAAATATTTGAGGAAACTGGAAAAAAGGTTTGTGTCTCGGTTCACAACCAACTAAGTAAATAAAAAGAATTTGAATTTCCAAGTCAAATTTAAGCATAAA